AGATGTGAATTTCAACCCGCTGGCAAGCACACCATCCTATACTCACACCACGGATTCACGTAAGTTCTGTTTATAAATACGGGCCTTTGTATTAAATATTATTCATCATAACCTAACAAAATCTTCTTTGTAAGGAGTTATCTACAAAAATGTTTATAACGGTGTATACTGATATGGTGTTTTTGATTCGTTTATTTACGTGAATAGCAGTATTATTTTTTGTAAATTTTATTTATAAAATTGAAAAGGGCTTTCGGCTCTTATGCCATCATTAGTGCTCTACTCGTCAAGTAGTTACAGGGGCTCTAAAAAACTAATCCTAAGATAATAACAAACATTTTTTGGTAAGTAAACAAACGTACATATAACAGATATGTGCCAAAAGGTCCTAAAAATATATGTGATGACTACATTTTTCTTTTTCAAAAGCACGAGGGAATGAAAATCATTGTACAAAGACAAAGCTCTAATGATATAGAATTGAACAAAAAATAAGTACTAAATGAAATGTTATCGTCAGGAACATTGATGTTAACAACTGTATTATGTTAAGCATACTAATTTGTTTTGTAGTCTTTTAATAATGAGAAATAAAAAATTTACAATTGGAGAGACAGATACTGGGTTGTTTGTTTGGTGCAAATTTTGAACTATTGTCCTGCTATGTCCTTTGACAAACCAAACAAATCCTAAATTGATTTTCGTCTAATGAAAAAGGGTCATTCCTATCCCACCATTATCTCCTTTGGAGATTGATTTCCCTTTGAATTTCAAGTTCATTGTCCTGTTCAAATAATTTTACAATTGACATATTGATTGGTAACAATTTTTTAAACTATAATTTGATAATTAACTATAAAGAATTCGTATATAAATTAAATTTACTAGCTCTAATCTTTAGTATTTAATATTTGATTGTTAATTTTTATTAAAGTTTTAAATACAAGTTACTATTTTATATGTAATTGGTACATTATTTTCAGATTTATCTGCAATCAAGCTTATGTTCATGCAGTATATACTATAGTTTGATAGTACCTACTACATTAATATGTTTGTTATATTATTAATTTATAATGTGTATGAATAAACGTATTATCAAGTCATTAAAAAAATATTAATAAACGCCAAACGTCAAAAAAATTAGAATTAAAAAACGAAAAAGACGGCAATAACCATCCAATATCATGTCCGCACGATTTCAAAACATTATCATTCAAAACGTTCAAACATCTTTTTCGAATTAATATTTTCATCTAGCGCCGATTCCTCAAAATCTGTTTAATATCCGATTAATCCAGACATATATTTGTCAAGTCGTTCCTGCGATACAAATTTCGAATTTACTCGTTCCTAACGGGTCGATAAATTTTTCAAAATTGACGCGCGACTAATGGAAACTCTTTGATGTTAACATCGTTAAATATGCCTAAATATTTCATCTACTCGAGAACATTTAAATAAGTACGTACGAAAATAACCACGAAAATAACGAAAAAAAGGCGGATAATACGGTTTTTGTACGGGGTAAGATCTCCGAGCAAATATTTATACTTAGAGAGGGAGCGTGTAGCGAGTTTGTCGGCGATTGTTCTCAAGATCCATACCTACGATATATTAGTCATGACGAAATTTGTGTTCCACTGACAATTACAGTGACAGTAGAGGTTAAAAATATTCATTAATATTTAATTTCTATTGTTTTCAAGATTGTATTCATTTAAACATTAAAAATAATTTGATTACATACCTTTTAACAACTTTTTTATGACCTGCAAACAATATTTTAAATAAAAAAAAGAACTAGAAATATATATAGCAAATTCAATGACAGAATGGTTTGTTTTTGTTAAAATTTAACGGTCAGTAGAACACAAATTACGTCACATTGATAAATAGAGACAGTGTCGGATTGGGCCGTCGGTCTACCTGTCAAAGATCGATAGGCCCTCGTTGAAGCAGTGGGTGCTCGTTCAGGCGGTGGGCCCTCGTTTGGTCAATGAGCGCTCGTTTAGTCAATGAGCCCTCGTTTAGTAAATGGGCCCTTGAGAACAACAAATGCGAAGAAACCTTCTGAAAAGAATCAGTGTGCAAAGAGGAGCTTTTTGCTCTTCAAGGAATCGGCCCATGAAAAAAAAATGATAGATGGCCCTGGAGGTCCCAAACCGACACTGCATAGAGTACTAAGGAAGTGACGCAGCGGGCACAAGGGGAAGGTAAAAATAGACTCTCTGATTTAGTGGCGTATCATTTCTTTGGTTTTCTCAGTTTTTATTAATAAAGAATCCATTTTTTTTACTGTTTTTAAATTAATTGTTGCGCCTGGTGCAAGAGATCGACGACATAGTCATATTTGCTAGAGACAAATTTGAAAATATCCTATCCCAACAAACAATTTGTGTAGGGGAATAAAAAGCCCAATAAATGTTACCCTTAAATTACAATGATGGCCACAACTTTTATAATTAAAAGGCCGTCATATATACGTCACTACGGCCGATAGTCGGACCGTAATCACTTAGTCATCATACTCAGTTAATAGGCTTTCATTTCCCCTTTAATGTCTGTAGAAATAAATATATTGATGAAAATATAATGGGAAATTGTTAGCCTTTTACTACATTAATACTGACTGATGAATAAAGGCCATGTGACAGGCACATGACCAGACAGACCATTCGATAGTTTTATTAAAATTTATAAAAAGGCAAAGTTTAGGAAAAACACTAAATACACGTTTCAAAATTAATACATATAAAATACTTACTTATTATGCTCCGAAAAAATCCATATTTCAAGAAGAAAGATTAATTTCAAGTTTCAGACACTAAACATTTTTAAATATACGCATGTATTTGCACACAATACCAACGCTTGCATTTCCCAAGTATATATAAACTTATAGGTTATGTAACCTACACAACCTGGTGCATTTGGCACGCTACGTATCAAATAGAGAAGAGAGAAACATAACATAAGAATCGCAGTCTATAGAACGAAGATAAGCATCTCAATACATACCGTATTGAAAGATGAGAATCCCACTGCTGTCTCGATTCTTCTTCTTATCTAAAACCAGTATTTGTTAGCTGATGATAGCTGATAATAGCCAGGCGGCAATAGCAGTTAAAAGCCATTTGATTTTGATCGTGCTTTTATCCAATACAGTTAGTTATCCTTCATAAGGCCATCATTAACCAACATAATGCTAAGCTACTATCAAAAGGCCAACAGTAAGCTTTGAACTTTTAATCATCGCATTCAGTATTCCTACAACTGCAGCAAAAGGCCAGCAAAACTCCGATAATTCATTGTTTGTTGGGGTAGGATATAGTAAAAAAAAACTAGAACAGACAGAATATGGTTCCGCGAGGTGGGACTTTGCAAAACCGTCAAATTATACGAAATAGATATACAATGAAAATAAAAGTAATTTAAATAATTATAAAATCGTGCAGATGCAATTACAAATTGAGTTTTCTGATTTTATCACAGATCTTCCTAACAAAAAATAATAATAGAAATCGGACGTGCTAAAGAATTATCGCTCCTCTTTTTTGAAGTTGGTTAAAAAGAAATCAAATATCTAGACCTAACCCAGGAAAAGAAAATTCTCTGGAACATACATAAAAAAGAAATTAATTGAGAGCCTCGTCTTTTTTTTTTGAAGTCGGTTAAAAAGAAATCAAATATCTTGACCTAACCCTGGAAAAGGAACTTGTCTGGAAAATTTATAAAAAGGAAGTAGTAAAAAATATTTAGACGAATTGAGCACCTCCTCTTTTTTTTGAAGTCGCTTAAAAAGAAATCAAATTTCTAGACCTCACCCTGGAAAAGAAACTTCTCTGGAACATACATGAAAAGGAAGTAGTAACAAAAAAAAAATATTCCGACGAATTGAGAACCTTGTCCTTTTTTCGTAGTCGGTTAATAAGGCCACAAAAGCCCTAATGCAGGAACATTGCCAGGGCCGCCCCAGGTCGGGCCCTGGGACAACTTTCTAAGTCGGGCCCCACGACAATTTTATAAACAAATTAAGCCCTTTCAATATAACATTTCTAAAAAAAGGAACCTGCAGCAAAACAAACTTCTCCTCCTTTTTAGTCTCTAAAAGCTGCCGGGCCCCCTTTATGCCGCTACCGATGAATCTTATATAGTTTGTAAACTAGCTGGATAATATACAATCCAACCAAAATATAATAATAATAATAATAATAATAATAATAATAATAATAATAATAATAATAATAATAATAATAATAATAATAATAATAATAATAATAATAATAATGTAATCATATAACAATAGTGGATAAAACAATTACAGAATTATGGATTACTACAATAGTCTGGCCTTTTGGTTTTATACAGTGCCATTAAAACAAAAAAAAAACAATATTTTAGTAGAAATATAATTATCCATCAAAATTGCCAGCCATTTGGATAGTTTGTATACTATCCAGCTAGTCTACAAACTAGCCAAGTAAACTCTTTAACCGTAACATACAAATCAATAGTGAGACCTTACGAAGCTGTAACCGTATCCTGGATTAACAGAACTAGTTTAGCTACTTGCGTGAGCTAATATCTCAAAGGTACAAAGACTAGCCTGCTCGCTAGACAGTGTTTGCATCACTGGATTCATCAGTGTAATGATAACCTGTCCTCCAGCTGCAATGGAGGTTATCTAAAACCTCGCTCTTCTACATTTAATGGTAGAAAACGTGGAAAAACTTAGATTAAACTTTAGATTAAAGTCTTTAATCTAAGGACAAAAAGGACGAGATATAGAATGATCAGGACCGGAGTAAACAAATGGAAGTGCACAATTTTTACAATGCTTTAATTTGTATTAGACTTTCTAAGTAACTACTTTTATTTGTTGAACTATTGTCAAACAAAATTGTTTTATTGAATACATTATTGTGGTATTAATTTTGAGTGTTTTATTCCTATTGAATTTTTAATATTATTAAATGTTTGTTTCTTTTTAATTGCAGAATAGCGTGTCAAACCAATTCATCTGTGAAAGGCTACAACAATTTAGTGAACCTTTACAAAGATTTCATTCAACAAATGGTAAGTAATTTATATCTTTTTTATTGATTTTATTATTACAGAAACAAAAAAGTATTTATATTTACCAGGTTTTCTTGAAAATGGATAACTAACAAAACCGTTTATTCCAAAATAACAGAATATGAATATTAGATCGACCAATTAGGCATCTTATTATTTTTATCTCCACATATGTACATTTTTCGTTAAATTCAACGATATAATTTTTTAATAAAGTCCTTTATTATTATTTTATTAGGTGTTATGCGATAACTTATTTCTCTAATGCCGTCTATTCTAGATTCTTGTGTTTATGAGTTTCAAATAAAGATCTCAATGAATCCAAACTGTTTGCCAAACAAAGCAAACATTCGAAATAAACGACTCACTCGTACGTGCAACATTTGGTCCCCGATATTTATAAAGCGGTCTTTAAGACCCTGAGGGATATAAATTTTATTCGGTAAACGTAACTTATTCGAAGGAACTCGACGGGCCGGAGATAAGACAGATGTTTCCTTTCTTAATGCCTAAATCGTGTCTTCGTGACCGTTTGGCAAGCTCCAGTCAAAATATCACAGAAATAGACAAATTAGACCGGTCTCGGTTTATAAGTTTTAGTCGCGCGGGACCGCCCAGGTCATAAGTCAATGGAACCGGCGGAAAATCAACGTATTTGTGCGATGAAATCCGGAAAATTTACGGGAATCGCACATATGGACGTTCGTGATAAATTTGTATGTCAACTGAATTATATTGTAGATAAACGCACGTGGCTTAACTTACAGGGAATGGCAAAAAGGTGAAGACAGTAGTCACCGTGTCCGAGAATAAGTTTAGTCAGATATAAATTAACAGTAATTAACCTAAAACATCGTAAAAGCATAAGGTGTTTCATATTGAAATTTGCAAACGTTAACTGTACAAAGGAGGGCACTTAGATGATTCGAAATTAGGGTCTGTCGTGCTTAATTACCTAGATCAGCCGTTCCAATTTTTTTTTCTTGCAAACCCCTTCTAAAAACCAAAATAAATTGTGGAACTCATGTGTAGTTATTAGTAACAGTAAATAAAACAGTAAAATTCGGTTGATTTTAAAAAACTAGAACATATTCGTAAAACATTTACGGGCAAACATTATTAAAGTTTTTTTGAACAAGGATAATTTCCTGTAATAGAATTTTACGTAAATAAAAGTTCTTTGATTATATCAGTCATTATAAGTTTTATTTACCATGCACAACATACAGGGTGAGGCACCGAAAACGAAACAGATCGCATATCTTGAAGACACATTTTTTTTTGGAGAAAATGCAAAAAGAGGTCGATTTTTATTTCAAAGGGGACATCTTTTGATCATATCCTCAACTTTCCTACATCCCTCCCCACCCCTTTGTCACTATTACCAATGAAATTGAAATAGGCAAAGTACTAAGTGTGACACATCATTGAAAAGGTAATTTTATAAGGAATTTGACTGTGTGACAGTTTATTATGTAACTTTTGATTTTTGCGCCATCTTGCTGGAAAAATTTCCGTATTTTAAATAATTATACTTCATTTGAAAGTAAAACTCATTTAATAGACAATTTATAATAAAAAAAAATAATAGAAAAGTGAACATAAAAATTAAATTGAAAAATTTAGGACAACTCCCATAATTAAAAACTAAATTACTTCAAAGTAAATGCTCAAAGTGTTGTCCATTAACTTCCATACACGAATATAAATTATTCTCAAATCTTTGTCTGACGTTTTGGAGCATTTCTGGAGTTATTTGACGACATTCGGGAATAATACGTTCACGTAACTCTTCTAAGGAACCTGGCTGAGTGGCGTATATTTTACTTTTCAGATATACCCATAAAAAGTAATCTAAGGGGGACAGATCAGGAGATGGTGGGGGCCATTCAGTAAATCCTCTTCGTCCAATCCAATGTCTAGGAAAGTTTTCATTTAAGTACTGACGAACCGTTGCAACAAAATGTGGAGGAGCCCCGTCCTGTTGAAATGTTAGGTGATCTTCAAGGTATCGGTTATCGTTTTCTATTATGTCTGTTAACAGTGGATCAACGGTGTTTTCGAGTAATTCCAAATATATATCCCCAGTTAAAGTACCTGGTACAAATAATGGACCAACAATACGATCGCCAAATATTCCAGCCCAAACGTTTAACGTTTCTGGGTGTTGAGTATGCGTTTCATGAAATACTCTTGGATTGGAATCTGACCAGTATCGACAATTAGGTCGATTGACAGTCCCGTTAACATAAAAATTGCATTCATCTGAAAAACAAATGTTATAAAGAAAATGTGGATCTTGTATTCGCTCCGTGCGCGACAGCAGCGCCAATTTGTTTTGGTATTAAAGGAGTATTTCTGCCTATACTGACAAATACAATTTTTAATAGAATTCGTAAATAAAAAGTATATATGTTAGTTTTAATAAAAGTATATGGATTTATAAAACAATTAAAACATTAATTTATTATTATTATATATTTTTCACGCTTAAATTGAAGAAAATTATGTATAATCATTAAAAATCAATAATAAAATATAGGCAGGCAACAGTATTTACTGGAAAATGTATGAGAAGTTGCCTAAGTCTAATAAGTTGTCATTGAAGAAACCATTTATAATAGCGTGAAGTTAAAATGTATAAAAAGGATCGCTACTTATATTTTCATATTTGTTCTAAAGAAAACATAGAATGAATTATTAAAACTGGTTTCCGATCAGTAAGTCACAAAATGGCATACCAGCCAAATATTATAATCAACGGCAGAAATCTTGAAATCTAGTCCTTGCTGAATGAACATTTAAGAATAAAGGGATATTAAAGAACATCGTAAAATGATAATTTATTGTTTATTTAAAAACTTTCTAGTTTCTGATGTCTACTATTTCCAGCATTACTGTTATTATCACAAAAATAAAGGTAATTTTTCTTCTTATTGTACACCTATCCATTTATTTCTTTGATTTAATTTCCACTTTGTTAGTGAAATTTGTTATATAAGTTTCACTGTTTTTTTTGCTAGTATTTGTACAATTTTCAACACAGCAACTCCGGTTGCTTATTGTGTTGTTTTTACCTACTTTTTTGAAAAAAAGTAAAATGTATACGTGTATTTGATATGCTAAAATTACAAAATATCCCCCTAAAATGCACGAATTATCCGCAGCTAGCGCTAGTATCGCTTTTGTTTCCCTTTCCATGACTTCGCACGGAGCGAATAGCATGCTCGCTCATGATGTCACAAAATTGCAAGCGGCGATCAAAATCGTCTTCGTTAAGTTTCTGACCTAATTGAATTTTATAGGGATAGAATTTGTTGGCTTTCAAAATTCTCCTGACGGTACGGTCACTTACTCCAGATAATTCTGTACTAAGAGTTGGATCTGCAACAACTTGTCCTAAAACGGCTACCTCTACGGCGTCGTTTCTTACTGGATTTTGAATCTGCCGTTTTTTATTTTGAACAGATCCTTTTGTCGAAATTTTGAAATAAGTTCCAAAACGTACTTACGTTTAACCTGTTTGTTTGGGTGTCGCTCATTGAAAATTGTACAGGCACTGTTAGCACATTCGTTATTTTTCAAATAACATTCAACAATTTCTACTCTCTCTTGAATAGAATAAACCATTTTTATATTTCACTCGCTAATTGACTTGAAGTATCAATGACGCTAAACTAAAAAACAGACCTGGTAGTTATGGCAATAAAAACCTTTATTTGCTTTACGAAAACATTCAATTTTATTCCAAAGGTTATTATGCATAAAATTTTTAAATTTGGCTTTCACATGACAATACGCTTATTTGAACTGTCACATGTCACACAGTCAAATTCCTTATAAAATTACCTTTTCAATGATGTGTCACACTTAGTACTTTCCCTATTTCAATTTCATCGGTAATAGTGACAGAGGGGTGGGGAGGGATGTAGGATAGTTGAGGATATGATCGAAAGATGTCCCCTTTGAAATAAAAATCGACCTCTTTTTGCATTTTCTCCAAAAAAAATATGTCTTCAAGATATGCGATCTGTTTCGTTTTCGGTGCCTCACCCTGTATGTTTCGGAAAATAAATTTTTCAACTTTCTGGTGCAGTCAAATTATAATTAAAAAAAAACTATTGAGGGACAATGGAATACAATTAAAAATTAGAAGTGTGACTAGCCATATGTGAATGGTTGAAATTGGGTCGCGGAAATTTGTACGAAAATTTTTTTTCGAATATTTCTGTTGGAAGGAATTTTGTTCGAAAGTTATTTTGTTCGAAAGTTATTTTGTTCGAAAGTAATCTTGGATTTTGTTAAAGCGAAATAATTTTGTTCCGCAGCCATCTTCTGTGTACAGTAGACATAGTACTTCGTCCACGCCACTGAAGATGTCTGACGCAGTTGCAGCTGAAACGTTTGGTAGTACTAACCAAGTAAGACCACGGCATAACAACCTGGAAACAAACAATTAAACTTTCCTAAATATATTCCTAAAATATGTAGATAACATACTTATCAAGTATATAATCGTTTAGTTCCAATTTTTTTACGATAGAAATAACTTAACATCTATTTCCTTTTACATTTTTCGATACTTCTTATAGTAAATTATCAGTGAAACCAAAATTACATCACATTAATATGGCGTATATTTTTCTCTCACTCACAAACCTAGCGATTAGATCAGGGTATTTTGTTACTAGAGTTAGAGTCTAGACGTCTAGCACCTATAGAGTGTTGAACGTTAAACTATGATTTGTTAGGAACTGTTTGGAACTTTAGTATTATACTCATTATAGTGCTGTATAAATACATAGTGAAACATTTTTTTCTTTACTACCATTAAAGACTTAAAATCTGAATACCTACACCACTGGACTCGAATAACGTAAGGTAGCTAATTAGAAATAATATAAAGAAAACGCAAAATAATACAGACACTCTTTCTGGATTGCCTCATTCTCTCTCTTTCTGAAATTAATCAAAAGAAACTTTTTCCGATTTCTATTTTA